TCCCACTGTCCTGGCTCTGTAACTACTGTACATCCAGTCTGGAAATCGTCTACATGCCTTTGAGGTTGCCTGTGGGGTTGGCGTGTCAAGGGGAGAATCGTATTTTTTAATTGCAGGATCTGGAGGACTCCCAGGGTCACATTTGGGGACTGTGAGGGGTTTTGCATGTGGATTTGCCTCCTTATCCAAAGAAGCAGTAGGCAGGATGGTGTGGCCAAAAGGGCAGGAATTGGCCTGGAAGGCAGTCTCTGCCAGCCACCAGCTGGTGGTGTGAGCTAGCGAATGTCACATACTCTGGTTCCCAACTAGAAGAGAGCTAAGGAGGCTGGCCACTGTCACTCCTAGCTTCTCATTCTAAAGAAGAAATAAAAAGCAAAGCTTCTATTTAGACAGGAAAGAGTGTAAGTGCAAGTCCAGAATTCCTCATAACTCTGCGTTTGTGCTCTGTGTGTGTGTGTGTGTGTGTGCATGTGCGTGTGTGTTAGCATGTGTGTTGTCAGCGCCTGACCTCATAAACCTCAGATGTGACTGTGAAATCTCACATGGCCTAGACCCTAAACCCTAACATTGCCACTGTAAAAAACACTCCTATTTGGGTGCCTTTAAAAAAAAGTACCTGGCAAATCTTTCGTTTCTGTATGATTTGTAAACAGTGTTATTTAAAAAAAATTTAACGGAGGTACTGGGGATTGAACCCAGGACCTTGTGCATGCTAAGCTTGCCCTCTGATACTAAGCTCTACCCACTTTTCTCCAAAAAGTTTTACTTAAAGGTAATGCGTTTTTGAGTTATTGAAGCCTAATTCAAACAAAACAAAGCACTTTGCTTTTAAAGCTTAACTAGACCACAATTTGTTTCTTTTGAATAATAAAGTTAGCTAATCTCTTCCCAAGTGAGAAGGGGTACTGTCATCACATAGCAGTAAAAGCGGAACCTCCAACCAAATTGGGACTGACCAAAATAGGCAGTTGGAGGAGCCCAAAATTGTAACTCTCCTCCAAGTCACTGAGAAATAAAATCAGAGCGAGTTCAAGGGTGGGGAGTGTCAGTAAAGTATCTAGGTGACTCTACAAAATCCCTAAAATGTCCCACAGCTTCTGGTGGAAATTCCCAAAAGCCTCAGTCGTGAGTCACTATAATTTGCTGCCCTCAGAGCCCAGAGCCCCACTGGTTTTGGCAGACATCTGTGCCCTATATCTCCAGCCCAGCAGTATCTGGGGAAGCTTCAGTTGGGAGGGGATGGGGGTGAGGGATGACTGGTGGTGAGATTGCCTTATAAGGAAACTCTAAGTCCTGCGGAAGGCCTGATGTTTTATCAAAATAGAAAAATGTTAAAGGGAAGATCAGAGACATCTTGCCCCTCACACTGAGAGTTCAGAGAAAGAGGAGTGAGGGATGCGAGTTCCCTAACAGGACATCCTTCTCAGACCTTGACAGAAACGCACCTTGAAGCCTGTCAGAACCTCGAAGGAAGCAGAATCCAACGTGGGGGGTAGCCATAACCCGGGAATCAATCGCAAATTTCCTGCTTTACAGGTGATGGGCTCCAGGGTGAGAAAGCGCAGTAACTTAAGGACTCCCAGTAAGAACTGAACGCAGCCGGCTTCCTAGGTGATGAGGGCAAGACCTGAAATTCCCACCTTACACCTGGCGCCTCGGTGCTGGGGCTCCATGGCAGAAAGGATGGGTGTTCCCTGGGATCCTCTTAGACACACACATTTAGGCTCAGCACTAGGCTGTCTGGGATGTGCTTTTTGGCACATAATTACCACCATCAAGATTATTATTAGCATTAGGCATTTACATGACACTTAATATTTTCAAAGTATTGTAGTGCCATTTAATTAGTATTTCCTTGCAACATTCCTGTCGAGTCCACACTTGATAGCTGGGAGACTGACAGGGTGGAGGGATAAATGCTAAAGGTTGATAGAGAACAGGGGATGGCAGCATGTCTTTCAGCTTCCCTTTTCCCTGGCGACCAAATCGAGATAAAAAACCTTCTCTACTCTACAAATTCTGCACTCCAACACCCAAAGCCCCATCTTAAAGGTACCTGTAACCTCCAGGAGTGGGGCAAAAGGGGGGGACAGTGGTGAATCTCTTTGGTGTATGTTGGCCCCAGGTTCAGACACCTTTCAAAAAAAGCCTCATATCAAGTTCAAGTTCAAATTCATTCAGAATGGCTGACACCTTCAGTCTCTATCGAAATCGCCATTAAACTAACCTGTAAATTTACATGATTGTGATTCCCAAACCTAAGGCAGCCTCTGATGGAAAGTTTTTAGGATTTGAGTCCTAATTAGGTTTGTTAAAATAGAGGAGTGGTTCAGGCCAGCGAGTGCTGCCTGAGTTGGGCTTAGGGTGACTTCTTTGCTTGTGCGAGAGCCCTGGTGGGGCCCTGAGGAGCCACAGATCCTATAGCCGAGACAATAAGACCTGGCAGCAAGACCTCTGGTTAAAGGAGAAACTCTGGGAGAGACAAAGGGAAAAGGGCCAAAGCTGGAGACTAAAACTCCAAGTGGTTAGCTGCGGGACCCACCTCCCTGGGGCAAAGCCTGCTCCCTCCTCTCAGCCCACCTGCACTTTCCTAAAGCAAGCAGAGGACGCTTCCTTTCTCTCTGCCAGGAAACGCCTTTCTCCAAGGCCCGGGCCTGTTGGAACCAACTGTAACCCCTTCTGCGTAGCAACCTGCTGCAGGTTCTGGGGACCAGCCAGGTTTCCCACTGGCCTACGGGTGACTTGGAGCCAAAGTAGAGAGAGTGGACCTATGTGTCCTGGTGTTTCTGATCCTAAGTCCCCTCCTTCCCTCTGGGGAGATTCGCATCCTTTCCTCCCGGTTCCCGCTTTTCCTCGCAGGCAGGGAGCTCCACACGACGACGTGGTGACCAACACCGAAGGGCTGCTGGGGCCTGGGAGGGGAGCGATCCTGAGAGACGATGGTTGGGAAACTCCGAGTCCTCGAGGTTTTGCCACGGGCCTCAACCACCCCCGGGATGGCCATCACCTGCAACCTGACAGTGGAGGCGCAGGTCTGGGGAAGTCTCCATGGGAATTATCTCTGTGGGACTCGACCTCCTCGCACTTCCCAGCGGGGCTCCTCGCCTGATGCCCGGAAGCAGGTCTGGAAAAGTCTGGGCCTTGGGGATCACCCTCGCAGACGCCGAGACCTGCCACTGCGCGGGGAGGCCCGGGGTGGGGTGGGGGTATGCGGACAGATATGCCCCATCGCGGAAGCTCGGATCTGTCCAGACCAGCTTTTCCAGCCCGCCGTCCGCTGCAGCCAACAACGGAGAGTCGAGTCCGGTGCTGGGCCCCTGCCGAGGTCACTGAGCTCCGAAGCGCGAAGAGAGGGCACCGACACCAGCAAGGGGTGGTTGCGGCTTCCGAACTGCTCTCGGGCCGCGCCGTCCGAGCGACGGAAACATTAGGTCATCTCTCCGGAGAGGATTCCAGTCCCGGAGGAGGGACAGGAGCGGGCTTGGAAGGCCGGGAGCAAGGCTTCCCTGACGGCCAAAAGCCGGCCGCCCGGGGGGAACGCGGCAGGACCGCAGCTCCCGGCAGCGCTGAGACCTCGCGTCTGTGCGGGGACGATTGTAACCCTCGTCCTTCTTGGGGCCTGGGGGCGACTTCGAGAGCCCCCTGAGCGGACTGGTCCCCCATCTTGGCTCCTCCAGAGCTGGGGACAGATTTGGCTCTTCATTTTCCACTTGCGAGAGGCATGCTCTTGGGCTACTTTACCACTCTCGGTGCCTCAGTGTCTGCCTCTGTAAGCCGGAAAGGAGACATTACCTACCTTAACAGGTTACCGTAAAGATTAAATGGGCTAACCTAGATGAGGAGCTTAGAGTGGTCCCCAAAGCACACCCGACGCATGCTGTATCCTCAGCATCCTTACCTCTTCTTTGGGGGGAAGGGAACCTTCAATCAGTCTCTCTCTTTTGGCCTGCCTCCCTCCATCTCTATCCTCTACCCATCTTCCCTCCCTTATCCTGTCTCTATTCCTATTTCCCTATCGCTATCCCCTCCGTACACCCGCAACAACTGAGTGAAATGTGAGAAATGTGCAAAAAGGATGCGTTCCTTTTCCTATGTGGGTCCCACCACGGAGGCTGGTCTGAGCTGTGCCCGTTGGAGCCGGCGTTTTCCGCCCCAGCGCAGATGAGGTTCCCGCGTCTGGGTCATCTCTGCAGCACACTCTGCCTCTGACGTCTGGATCTCGATTCCTGAAATCTCTTCCTCCTGAGAGAGTCCAGGCTGTGGCAAGTTGTACAGAGAATCCCTGCCGCTCCTCTGTCCACGCGGCCACCTCGCTCGGCTCGCAGCTGCAGCCCCGGGCTCACCGCCCGCCCCAATGCGCGTGGCCATGCTAGGCCCAGGCCCGGAGCTTCCATTTCCCAGGCCGACTTGGCTTAGCAGGGTGGCGGCCAACTCCAGGGCGGTGATATCGAGGCCAGAGGGCGCAAAGCCAGAATTTCAAGCGTTAGGTCTGAGGGTCTGGGAAAACGCCCATGTCACAAGCAGTGTGAGTCCCCTGCCGCGGAGAGCCAGGACCGCCAAACCCCCGAGGGCAACGAGTGGGACTTGATCTCACGGGAGCGGAAGAGAAATTACGAGCTGCACAGACTGCGAGGACATCAGGGCTAGGCCACCAACTGACCCCTCAGATGTGGGTTCGCATTCACACTGCCACTCACGAGAACAAGTGACCAGACCCTTGATTTCCTTATCTCTAAATGAGAACACTAACCCCTGGCCCTGAATTCCAATGTATGATGGTTGTCAAAACGCTGAAATTCTCAACTTTGCAGAAGCCCGCGGCCCAGAACGATTCCTGGACTCGCAGGTGGAATGTCCAGAAACGTCCCCCCGATTTCGAAAGCAAAGGGTCCCAGGTTCAAAGTGGCAGCCCTTCTAAGTGTCCCAAGAGGAGTTTCCATTCCCAGGGGAGGGGATTTGCAGCCTCCGCCCCGCTGTCGCAGGAGGAAGCCCATCCGGCCATGGCCACTCCGGAGCTGAAGACAGGCCAGCAGGCCCTGCCTGCTGTTCCGTCAGGCGCGGACCTTTCGGGAGCTCCCCAGTCCTCACGTCTAACTTGCGCGCACGCTGCCCCAAGCTTGAGCGGCAGGCCTTGCGAAAAGGACCCACAGCGCCAAACCCTAGCTTCGCTCCAGCTACAGGAACTCCAAGCAGAAGTTATGAGCGAGGTAACTTGGGCAACATATTGCCCTTCCCCCATCTTTCCCTCGGTTATTAATTTTCTGGAGAGTTCACGGGAAGTGGCTTGAGGTCTGAGCTATCCTACTTTGGTCTCAATGTCTGCCTTTTTCTGCTCTTGAGACACTATCCGTCAAGGAGACTCGGTCAGGGGGTACCCCACCCCCAGCTCCAGGGATCTCAGAGTGTCCGTGGCTTCAGCCTTCTCTCTAGCTTCGGTCCTTCTTCTGGGTCCTCTCTGGCACTGACCGTAATCCGGGGCCTGGGTCTCCTGCCCTAAGCCTCCCACACAAGCATCCATTATGTTCTCACTGGTCCCATGATACGAGTCTTCCCCAGCTGCGTCTGCATTGCAAAGTGAATGAAGTTTTCTTGTTTGTCTGATTTTTTGGGGTAACGTTTAAATAAATGGTCATTATCAGGAAATTCAGGCCAAGAAACATCCTAACCCCATCCATTCAAATGAAATCCTCAGACAACTGAGAAAACAGTAATATTAATTGAAGCAGCTACACATGAAATATGTATACGAGATTAAGCTATAAATGGCATATAAAGGTCTAGGATCTATTAAAAGCTAGAACTAGAAAGGCAAGACACAGGTGTCTACGTATTCTGCTCAGATTCAATGTTGGAGTCAAGGTGACTAGAGAGGAACTCAATCTAATCCAATTCTCCCAGTTTACGAATAAGAAAATAGGCCCAGAGAAAACCAGGAGCCCTCCCAAGGTCACACAGCACGGAGCAGACAGAGGAGCCACAGGAATCCAGTCCTGACTCCCAACGCAGCGCCCAGCCCACTGTGTCTCGGATGTTTTCTGCTTTCGGAATCATGGAGCAAACAGCCCCTCATGGGTTTTTCTCTCCAGCTTTAGCTCTCACGAGGCGATGGGATTCCAAGAAGGACCCCCTTCCCGGAATCCCGTTGTCTCTCCGCCGTCAGGCTTCGATTGTCAGGAAAGAGCCTGGATCTCCCGACTTGAGAGTTCAAATCAACCCTCCCCCACAGCCTCGCGGACCTGGGAGCACCACACAGGTGCAGTTCTCACACGGCACCGATAGGTGGCGCGTTCCTCATAGGAAAACCGGCCGGGAATAGGCCCACGCGCCTAAGACCCTACTCCCTCTCCTGACAGCCAGGCTAGAGTCCCTCTCCCAAAAGAAAAGCGAGAGGAAGGGGTACGTGAGCTGGGGATTCGGGCTGGATGCCAGAGGGTTTGAAAAGAAAGAAACAGTAATTCTAGCCTTTCAGGGGCGCGTCCTCACGATCCTTTAAGAGGTCATTGAGCACTGGTGCAGAGGGCAAGGCTCTGTGCACTTGGCCAGAGAAAACACCAGGACCCACTGGGGTCACCTCTAGGGGGCGTTATCTCCCCTCAGCAAGTACCTCCACGCATCTGCTCATTCACGCACCCTCGGCTGCTGCCTTCTTCTGCCGTGATCCCCAAGCCCCATCCTTCCTCCGCCTACTTTTTTTTTTAAACATTGGATAAGGGGGGAGTTAGGGAAAGAAGGCGCTTTTTCAATTGCGACGATAATTGTCCTCGAGATGGGTTTCTTAATCTGCTCATCCATTATTGACTTCTCTTCTAATATTTGGCTTTGCCGCTTTGATCGCCAGAAGATCACATACTTGACTCCTTTGCATAACAATTTTGGGGCGGGCGTCCTTGGCGCGGGAGGGGAGGGACGTGCCTGGAATGACTTTAGGGTCGGTATTCCACCCTCCCACACACAGGAAGTGAGGCCTTCCCCTCACTGACCTCCCATCCTTAACTGCACCATTCACGCCTGGAAAGTTCTGAAGGCGAGTAGGGACGGAGAAGAAACGGCAAACCCCCTCCCCCCATGGGAGCAGGAACCGTGAGACCCTCCAGTGGGACCCGATGCAGTGGGAGGGACTGTGTGTCCCCCTCGCCTCCCACTGCATTTCCAACACCAAGAGATGCTGCCTCTCTGCCCCCCCCCAACACACACATTGGGGAGAGAGTGAACCTTACTTGGAGGTGAATGATATGAGGTTGGCAGATGGGGGAAGGAGACCATGTCCCCTAAGCTCTTGTCTGGTACTTTGGCCATGGGACAAAACTCAGTTGCTCAAGGTTCCCGAGCCCCGAGACCAGTGACCACCTCTGTGGGATCCTGACCTAGTCCCTTCGGCTCTCTGGGTCTCAGTTGCCTCATTTGTGGAGTGGACTTTTGGTCTGTTTGCTCCCTAAGGTCCTTTTGATCTTGACTTGACACATGTTGCCCACTCTCCCCCAAATCAGGGCTTAGGGTTTCAGGATTGCATAGGTGGGTTTTGGTGGGGAACAGAAAATTAGTGGCTATTTTCATCAGCATTTAAACAACTGCTTCCCCTACCTTTACGTAGTTCACCCCCCACCTGGTGAGCTGGGTTTAGGGTCAGAGCTTTGTGATGCTTGTTACTTCGTATACCTCACTTCCAAAGCCTCAGTGGGAGGCAGTTGCTCTCAGCTTCCCAGCTCCTG